GGCCAATTTTGAGGGGTGTGTTAAACCAGGTCCCAGGCTAGGTAGCACACTTTCCTGGATTTTTCATTTGATTCTAGCCGTACAGCCGTACAGCATAAGAATTGTAAGCTGGTATGGACATTTGTGTATGTGTGTGGGAATGCATACACATGCGCGTGAAATGGGTATATTATAGACTACGGTGGAGTCGGCGAACTCATTATCGGGCCTACTTACGTCATTTTATTTATCTGCTTCATTTATACCCCACCTATCTCCCCAATGGGCCCCCAAAGCAGCTTGCATCATTCATCTCTCGGTTTGATCCTCACAACAGCCCTGGAAGGTAGATTTATCATTTACTGAATTTAGTCCACTTTTCTTACTGAGACTCAAGGTGGATTACAGAGCATACATTGATGCAACCAATAGAATGAATCATCTAATAAGCAATGCAGTTGAACCAGGATTACAGAGTTTTGGAACAACACAAAAGGCAAAATGTTTTAGATATAAGAACATAAGAGAAGCCATGTTGGAGGAGGCCAGTGGCCCATCCACTCCAACAAACTGCTGTGATGTGCAGGATCCTTAATATTTTTGTCTACATTTAGTCTCTACTGAGGAAAACTATACGAAATGAAGTTCTTTGTCGTCCATTGTAGACATACCTGTTGGATTACTGAAATTCTGTAGACTTACCTGTTGGATTGTTGAAAATTTACCTGTTGGATTATTGAAAAAATTGTAGACTTACCTGTTGGATGTTTGTATATTTAGTATTTTCTGATTAATTTTTAGCGTCTTTCAGCAGATTTTTTTGGGGGGTCTTATCATGTTTACTGTGTGATTGTTGAGTGTTTACTGTGGCCCACCAGTGGGGTCAGAACTCCAGAAGCCCTCCCACTGTTGCCCCCCAAGCACCCCTAAGATGATACGTCTAACAATATGTAATATGGAATTACACAAGTAGAAAGCAACATAGTGAGATACAAACACAGATAATACGTCCTGTGGTATCGTCCACAGTCCTCTCCCCTTTATGAAGTGCCTTTCTGAACCCTTCCATTATAATACAGCTCTATAAAAGCACCCTCTTTAATAATTCTGTTTTATGTAGTTCGCAGAACGACAGAAGTGTAGGAGCCTTCCTGACTCCCTCTAGGTGTGAGGCCACAACAGAGAATGCACATGAACAGGCAGCTGTTGATACTATATCCATTTGTAAAGTTAGTCTGGGGAAGACATCCTAGTAAGCAGGGTTGTGGGGAAGACATCCTAGTAAGCAGGGTTGGTACTTGAGTGGGGGACCCCCAAGGAAGCCTCTGAAGAGCAAGGCACTGGCAAGCCACCTCTGCTCCTCTCTTGCCCCGAAACCCACTTGCTGGGGTCGCTGTAAGTCGGCTGTGACTTGACAGCTCTGATGTACGAAAGTTAGGCTGAGACTGTGTGGCTGGCCCAAAGTCACCCAGCAAGCTTGTGTGGCAGAGCAGACACTCATGTGATTTTTCCCCCCTTTCACAGTTCATGAGCTGGGAGTGGAGGCACAGAGGCTACGTGGCCAGTTTGTATCATGACCAGATAAATTACCTTTGCGCCCTGTGAGTGGAGGCTGGATGTGGACAAAATCAAGAGGGTTCAGAAGAGAGCGATGAGGATGATCAGGGGTCTGGAGACCGAGCCCTACGAGGAAAGGCTAAGGGCCTTGGGAATGTTTAGTTTGGAGGAGACTGAGGTGGGACATGATTGCTCTCGTTTGGTGTCGTGGTTAGGAGCGCGGACTCTAATCTGGGAGAACCGGGTGTTTTTTGTTTTTTTTTAAATAAAGGCTTTATTTACTCTCCTAAAAAGGAGAGGTATTTCGCTTAAATAGAAAAATAGGGAGGGTATATAGTGGGAGAAAGAGAAAGCTGAGTGATATATTAAGTTGTAAGTTAATCTGTTAGTAATGTCCAAATTATTTTCTTAGGCTTCTTCTGTGTGCAGTCAAACTTCTTTCTTCAAACCAGTTAAAGGTGTTATCTATGTTATTAAATATTTGAAAGGCTGTCATTTGGAGGAGCGCAAGGAGCTGTTCCAGTTGGCAACAGAGGATAGGACCCAAAGCAACGGGTTTAAATTACGTGCAGAAAGGTATCGGCTGGATATTAGGGAAAACTTTTTCACGGTCAGAGTGGTTCAAAGGAGGAATCAGCTGCCTAGGGAGGTGGTGAACTCCCCTTCACTGGCAGCTTTCAAGAGGCTGGATGAGATGCTTTAGGCTGGTCCTGCATTGGGCATGGGGTTGGACTAGATGGTCTGTATGGCCCATTCCAGCTCTATGATTCTATGAGGCCAAACCCACCTGTCAAACCCACCTGCCATCTCAGTGGTTTCAAATGTTCTCTGTGTTACTGGTGGTAGAAAGTACCATCAAGTCGTAGCCAATTGATGGGGGACCCCAATTTATGTTCAAGGCAAGCGACATTTAGAGGTGGTTTGCTATTGCCTGCCTACGTAGCTAATCCTGGACTTCCTTGGTGGCCTGGTCTCCCATCCAAGTACTAATCCGGGCCGAACCTGCTTAGCTTGCTTCTGAGATCTGATGGGACTGGGTTAGCCTGGGCCAACTGGGGCAGGGCCTCTTAGTTGTTGCCAAACATTTATTCCAGCTGTTACTGCAGAAGCCGTGGCCTGAAAATGGATCTGTTGAGGGGCTCTGCAGGAGTAAGATGAAAACTTCAATGCAAAATTCAAAGGTGAGGTAGAGAAGAAGCAGGCATACCCTCTGACAAGAGAACAAAATCTGGCTATGGAGAGAGAACAGTTGTGAGCTTGGTTTCTGACTCTGCAGAAGTATTTTATCCAGGGCCGGCCCAAGCTTATTTTGCACCCTAGGCAAGGATCTCTTCTGGCACACCCCCCATGCGCCCACCAATTTTCAAAAATAAATGCATTTTAGGAAGAATGAAAAACACAAATAATCAAGAAACTCCCAGAGTACGGGGCCGGGTGCAGCTTGGCGCCCCTAAGGGCCGGCCCACTCTAGGCAATCGCCTAGTTCGCCTAGTGAGTGAGCCGGCCCTGATTTTATCGACACATATTAGGAACAGATTGAAGATGGGGGGGATGTCCTCCCCCTTACACAGAGAACTGGCCAGATTTGGCTAGAAGAAGCAAGTGACAGGCTCCAGATAAGCTAGCTACCCTTGATGCTGTGGCTAGCAAGGGACAAGGGACGCTTGTGGCTCTACTTGTGTTATGTTAGAATAGAAGGTTAAGTGGTGCCGGAAAACTCCATTTTTTTTAAAAAAAAGGGACATCTGTGTTTGAATTAAAATAACCCCAGTGAGATACCTGTGTCTTCAGACTCGAGCATCAAATGAACCACACCAACTTTGCAAGCCTTTGACGTTTGTTCCAGCAAGGAAGTCTTTGGTTCCTAAAGCAGCAATAGTGAAACTCAAGAAGTGGAGCTGGGGCGGCCGGAGGTCCAGTCTGGAAGTGTGCTGCTTGCTGGAGTCCGTTCGTCCGGGGCTTGCCTAGTGGATCCAGCCCATCAGCCCAGCATCCACTCCTGACCGGATCGAGTCTAGCAACCAACCTGCCTCCCCCAGTCCACTGGCTTCAAAAAGACCAGTTAGTGCACATCTCCCCCACCCCACCCCACCCTCCTCCAGTCCCTTTTATCGCCAGTGCGAGGCGGCTGCCAGTTCATACCAGCAGATTCACGATTTCACCACTCACTCAACGTCTCCCCTCCCCCGTGGCGATGCAAATGCCCCTCCCCCCTCGAGTGGCTGCTGCCTCCAGCACATGAAGAGAGGGGGGGGCGCCGGTGG